TATTTCAGAGGTGGGTCAAGCAAGGCACAGACTCCTTTGAATGTCCTTCAGAACTTTTCAAAGTAAAAGCTCTCAATTGAACTTGAAATAAGGCATTGCTGCAAAAAAACACTTTCTTGCACTTTTATTTTGTAGGCACAATCATTTAAGAGGAAGTGAGTATGTGAGTAACTGTTGCTGTCATGACAGATCTATTTCAGCACCGGCCGCTATCAAAGTAATCTGGCCGCGGGCCAGATATTATTACGTCATTATCTTAAGAAAACAACATTTGTTATTTCCAGATGACATAAATAACTTGAGATGTCGACAAAACAAATTTAATTAACTCATTATCACGGGAAAACCAAGTTTGTGTGTTTAAAAGGTACAGTGCACATTAGTCAACATAAGGACTAAGACCAATATGTAAATGGCCAGATTTAGCCATACAGGCAAATTTTTGTCTGCATTCCCTGGCAGGTTGATGGCATAACAAAAACCAGAAAACATTAAAACATACTTAGGCACATAAAAACAAACAGAGAACACAGGAGCATGGATAAAACATATAAGCACAAATCATATAAACACAAAGCACATAAGCATAGACAAAATCGCACAAGCACAAATTAAACATAAAAGACATAAAAGACACTTAAAAGACAAAAAAAGACACCAGCATATGAGCACAGCTATTTGTAGAAACAATGACACTACTGCAAGTTATGACAGCATATTTGATTATCCAGTAACCGCTGTTTTATATCTTTGGAAAAGGAGGTGAGAGAAGAAATATTTTGTGTTTCTGTGGGTATAGTGTTCCAGGAAAAGGCCGACTGCCCAAGAAACTTTTTCTCTATGCTTTTTTACAGTCACCTCTGGTAGTAGGTCTGGTCGATGAGTTAAGATTTTTTAAATGAATTTATTGATTGAAACATTTTATGCACAAGTAAAATATCTGCAAAGTTGACCATATTTTTCCTTTTTTAAAACCCATACTATTATAATGATGATATATCCATTGTTTTTTTAAAGCTCGTTTATAAATTGTTCCTGACTGTGATGTGGTTTTAGTTAAGTGTGTGTTTCTGGTATGTGAAGCAGATGTCGCACGTCTTCTTCATCAAACTAACAAGCCATGCAAACATAAAGGTAAACGTGTGCATGTGTTTATGTAACCGCTGACACACCTGAGCACCTGGGTGTTTGCACGTGTGTTACAGAGGCCATGCTCTGATCAAAGTCATCCTGATGGAGGGAAATGGAGAGACGGACGAGTGAGTGAGCGACTGAGTAGGAAAAAAAACATATCATGAAATGTAAAAACAATCTAAAACCGTGGCAGGATAGAAAAGTGAGAAGGACAGACAGATGAGCAGAAAGATGCAGTTGCCATGGAGACAGGGATCTGACTGGGTCCTCTCATGTTTCCACACACACGTACACACACACACACACACACAGACGCTCGTCTTTAAGGAACACTAAGTCTGGTTGCAGAGAGGTGTACTGACACACTGTTACATAAATCCATCTCCCTCAGCAGAGTTAGTATCTTCTGCCGTTTCTCTTTCACTGATGTTTTTGATGTCGATTTATGTCCGTTTGATTGGATTTTGACATTGATTAGACTTCACATGAGGCCTGAGCCAAAAAGGTGGTGTTAGCTCAGTCTTTAAGGGACTTTGCTTGGTAACCGGAGGGGTTGCTGGTTCGAGTCCAGCATGAACCACTGCCAAAAAGTGCCCTGACCAAGGCCTCGAACCCCTAACTGCTCATGAGGGAACATGAGGCATGAAACAAGGGTCTGATATGCTCATCTTAAAAGGTCCAGTGTGTATAATATTTAGGAGGATCTATTGACAGAACTATTTTTCAGTGGTGTATGAAGACCTTACATATAGAACCGTATTTTTTTTTATACATCAGAATGAGCCATTTCTATGTGCATACACCGCAGGTCCTCTTACAATGAAGTCACCATGATGCACTGCCATGTTTCTACAGTAGCCCAAATGGACAAACTGCTCTACAGAGCGTATTTTGTCACTATGTTAAATACGTATGAAGAAGAAGAAGAAGAAAAAGTAGTAGTGGTATTCATCTGGCTTATTAGAAGTAAGGAGAGAAGTGAAATTTAGACAAATGGAGGAGCACATGTATTATTTAGCACAAGTTAGTTAGCGTTGGGCTACACCTTGAGCTTAGTTTTTTAGCCTTAGCCTATATTTGTTTACATTTGAGCATATTAGCACAAGTAAAAGCATGTACGTTAGCACTTCCTGTTTGTAATGTACCCGTGAATGTACAATGACAATCATCACTGGATTACTTTGACAGCAAATGATTGTTTATGATTTCTCAGCAGACATGTGGCCTTTTAATGGAAACTGTTGAGATGATGGTATATGTTTTGTGTAAGTTCTGTATGTTTTATAACTGTGATTTTATTTTATTTTATTCATGTACACCTCTGCAGACTGCAACACAGCAATTTCCCTTCAGGGATGAATAAAGTATCTATCTATCTACAGTTCTGTACTGTACATGGCTTGCAGAGGGCGCTGTGTTGAGACGCTTGCTGTGTACTGTTCTGGATTTGTTATTCACCCACAAACAAACAGAAAAGTTTTGGTGGCACAGGAAAAAAAAACTCAAAATGGACCCATGGGTGCTGGCAGTGAAAGTAGTTTCACACCCACCAACCCGCCTAAACACACACACACACACACACACCTACACAGGGAAAGTAGAATTAATCACCTTTTAGACCACTGAGGCATTAACAAACCCCATCTGTTCTACATCTCTCTCCTCCTCCACAGTTGCCCGTTGTCAGTTTCTCTCTTTTGTTTTTGCGACTCCCACTTCGTCAGCTATATTTTCTCCGACCTCCTCCATCTCTTGCTCACTTGTCCTCAATCCCTCCTTCTCTCATGTCTTCCCTGTTTCTTCCTCTTTAATCTTTTTTTTTTCAGGCCTTCCCAATGAGTTATAGAGAAAAATAAGCTTCATTACAAGGATGTCATTACAAGTGGCTGACAGCGAGAAGGTCAAAGGTCAGAGGTCACAGAGCCTTGACAGCCGATGAAGCAGATATCCCTCCTCTCCTGCTGATAGAAATCTTGTGTGGAGGAGAATTAGCCTATCAGGGGGAGAAACAGGAACCGGGGAGGAGAGCTTGGCAGCCGGACTCGGCTCATCTATCTGTCTGAACGGCTGCCAAAGCACTCAGACGCCATCTTGGACTGTAGATGGATAAAAGGCTGGATTGATGGCCAGCTCGGGCTATTTATGCAAAATCTAATTTATAATTTATAAACCTCTGTTGATGTTGGCTTTTGAAAAATGTTACAGGCTCCTAATAACGTGGAAATCATCATTAAGTGATTAAGTTTTCTTTCTTTAGGTTAGAAATTCTGAGCTTGTGGTTCATAATTTGTACTTTGGTGCGTTCAAGTGCCCAAATGAAAAAAACAGAAACATGGACGCTGCAGTATCTGCAAGTTTTAACAACACAAAAGGGTTTAAAAGTAATTCACGTGAAGCTAAACAGAAACTGTACACCACATGGCCAAAAGTATGTGGACACAACATTCCCCATGCTTTGGTGTTCTTCTTCTTGTTTTCTTTTTTGTTGCACGCCATGGGTTCAGTGAGGGGAGGTCTTATATAACCAAGTACTTTATGTAAGTCATCTTCAAAATGTTATTTCACTTAAAACATCTCAACTTTGTTTCTTTCACACGGGACTCAAACCTGGAACTCTTGAGTGAAAGTTTTTTTGACTCATCCTTACAAGGACTTTGTGGCTCATTATACTGCGTCACCTGACCTCTTCCGCATCTTGAGGTCGTGGTCTAACAAAATACATAAATATGGGTTATAATAAGATGCCGATAATCAACCTATATGGCTGTTTTTCTGGTGAGCACGGGCTGGACACAAGTGTGTTTCCATCGGTTGTATCCAGGGGTTGAGTTTATGTTTCTGTGTTGTTGAGATTTTCATAATAGGAAGTCTGAAGTTTAACATTTCTATAAGGCATTAAAGGAGGAGCTCCCCCTGCCATCTCCTTCTTCTTTGTTTGTGTTTGCAAGTTAACTTTTCTGACTGGGTGCAATCTTTGGAAAGCAGAATCATCATATTGTGGGAAGGAGGTGAAGAGGTTCAGCTGTCGTTGTTGCTGCCGTTGCTTTCAGTTTCATCACCTTCTGTGTGGAGCTGAATTAAATCAAGACAAACCGTGCTGCAGATAATCATGTGACAGCTGCAGTTTTGCTTTAACATGATTCAGAATCTCAAATAACCACTTGAATTGGGCTTTGCTTCCCAGCCAGCAATGCTTTTATAACAGAAAGGGTCTAACCTTTGTCTTTGAGCCAGGTTTCTATGTGCGGTGCAATTATTTTAATAGCAGCAGGGATGGTTACATCATAAGATGCACAGGTTTGGTGAATGTTTAGAAATTATGCAAGCTTTTACGGACGCACAATGAGAAACCCAAACATCTATTTCTCCAGCTTTCTACCAGCTTTATATATCTGAGGAATAAAAATTAGTCTCTTCACGAGGTACTCATCAGAGAGAAACTATGAGTTGCAAACGAAATTTCATTACCAGACAGAGAGCGAGAGGGAGGTTTTAGTCCTGCGGTAAATCAGAGTGAAGGAATGAGAGCCAAAAAAGAGGAGACAGTTACAGCTTTCTATTATTTTATTACATGTAGAGCTACAAATCGGTCTGAAGAGAAAAAAGTACATCTAAGGAGACAGAGAGGTAAAAGAAAAGAGACAGAGAGGCAGGAAAAAGTAAGACAGAGAGACAGAAAGAAAAGGAAGTCAGAGCAAAAAAAACAGAAAAGGAAAGAGGACAAAAGTTGAAAACAAAGAAGACAGACTGGATGTCCACTTGGTGTTTACATGTAACCTGTTTCTAGAGATATTATCTGGAGGTAACATGCCGTTACCTCGATTTTGACCACATTGTGATCCAAACTCAAAATGCAAATTAGTCAACAAACACGACATGTTCTGTGTTAAGAGAAACAGCGTTGCTATATGGGCTTTTTCCCCCCAGAAGGTTGTCTATTTACACATCACATAAAACAACACAGCATTTTTATAGAGTTGTGTTTGTATCCGCCTGATGAATGTAAGTCCAATATTCACTCTGTTTTTTAGGCTCCACCAACACCAGAGGGAAATATCTGGCTCTTTAGCTGCTAAATGCTCCACTTTCTTCACCAGCAAGTGCTGAGCAGGTGATGTATAGTGAGTTTCTCAGAGTTTGTGTGCTGCAGAGACTAAAATCCAAAAGAGTAAACGTTCGTTAAAACCAAAACAATGATGTGGACGATGCTAAAACAGCCCGTATGGCTGAAGAGAACGGTAAGTAAACTCAGGACTTTCACTCATGACAATGAGGTCTGAGTCCCGTGTCAAAGTTGACTTGTTTTAAGGTAAATAAAAGATGACTTACGTAATGTACCTATTTTAACCCCATGATCTTTTATCACATGTTAAACGTCATGTGACTTTGATCACATGACCTACATAGCATACTGAAGGTCCTCTACGCCTGCCACTGGACTGGTATGGGAAACGCTCATATGTATAGCTTTGGAAAGCGGTCTTCTACTGTATATTGTATACACATCCTCATCTGTTTTGTTGTTTAGGTATGAGGACGTGTTCCCCAGTGTGAGATACCGTACTTTAAAACTTGCACTGCTTTGTGACACTGACTCCTCCTTCTCTTTTAAGCCCATGACAGGAAGCAGAGAGATTGAAAAAGTTAGTGAGACTCAGAATGAAGGCATGAGACACGAAGAAAAAGGATGCAAGAAAAACCCCAGAAGAATCAGCCAGTTCCTCTAAACAACAAAGCTTTGAGAGAGATTAGTTTAACACACAAGGGCACGAGGATGCCCAGAGAGACAGAGATCACACAACCTTTTATCTAAACTACAAGACAAGTTCACAAAATCTGATCCGAAGCCCTCTCTGAGTTGTGATCAGAATCTACGCTGCCTTTCAGTGGATAACTGGATCAAACAGATTGATCTGAGCCAGACAGGACGGGAAAGATCGGATCCGGGGACCGACGGTGAGGAGGACGAGGAGGAGAAGAGGAAAGGACGAATTTCAGGATTCCTGAGATTTAGAGTTAATTACAGAAGAGAAAGTAGGATGATAGATGAGAGAAAATTTGAAATTCGATGATGGAAGGAGGAGAGGGAATAGGAAAGGTGCGACCAAGGAAGAGAAGAAATTAAGAGGAAAAGATGAAACACAAGAGAAAACAAGGTGACAGGAGAAACAAAAACAACAGGGGTGGGGGGCTCAGTGTAAAGCTCTCTGTGTGCAAACAGCTGCACGTGTTGCATTATAATTCCTGCAGGTTTCAGTGCTCTGCAGACACGTTTTAAATTCGCAGGAGGGGCGACGGTGAGTTTCCAGCAGGAAGCCTCTGACCAGCTGCAGTGCAGCAGCTCGCAGACAACACAAACACCTCAGCAGCACCCATGCATTACTGCCAATAACAACAGAAGCAGAAGAAGAAGAGGAAGAGAAGAAAGGTATTGTGGTTACCTTCAAAGACACGACTCGACTCACACAGACACGACTGACACAGTATGATTAAGATTTGTAAGCACACAATGTGACATTTCAACACATTTAAATACAAAAGAACCTCTTACTATTAAGTGATGAATGGATATTCTGTCATGATTCTGGTTTGTGGGGTTTCGTTTGGTATTTCCTGTTTTTCTAAGTACTTCCTCTTCTGTCTGTGTTTTTCACTTCCTGTCTCTGTGGTTTCTCGTCTCTGTGTTGTGTTGCTGTGGTGTTCTGGTTTGATTGCTTTACTCTTCCCTGACTGTTTCCACCTGTGACTTGTTTTTGACCTCCCACTTGTATATTATTTTTATTATATAAGTATTTTATTTGTTCAGTGTCGGCTTGTCTCTACATTCCTCCTGACCTCGTCACGTGTCCCTGCCTGTCTTCAGTGTTAACTGTGTCTATTGATGTCTTTGTAGATTATGGACGTGCCTGTACCCTCTGGATGTGTTTGGACTGCTTGCTTGGTTTTGATCTCCGCCTGCCTCACAAATCCTGTAAGCTTGTGTTCCCTCTTAATTTGTTTCTAAATAAACACTAGAAACATTTATTGCTCTGCCTGTGTGTTCTGCGCTTGGGTCCAAATGCCTTTATTCCTGTGTCTACACAAACGTGGCTTAAAAAGTACCATAATCACATTATTACAGAAAGTTTAGAAACTTTTAATCAGTTTTAAAGGAGGGAAGAAACATATTTTTCTGCAATTTTTTTTGTCGAGTTCAATTTCGATTAAACTTTGACCTTCAGATGTGCGACCAATAGCAAGCAGTGTTGACATGTATTGATTATTTGGGGAGACAGAGAGTCCAAAATGGAGGAAGCTATCGTAGCATGTTAGCTGTGTTGCACCATCCAGCTTTATTTAACCTCCTTTCAAAGTAAAAACTGGGCAACATTATCGTCGTGTTAGTGACCAAGATAACAAATTCGCCAACTCTTTTTTCAAAATAAATGACATACATAACCAAAAGCGAGTGAGCAGAAAATTGAATGGTCTTTTCATTTCTTTCCAGCTCTTGAGACGCTCCTCTGGGTGTCATGTTAATGCACAATCAATCCCTGATCGATAGCTGGTCTATACTCAATTAGCCAAAGCGCCAGAGATCCATAACTACTCCTGTTTACGTCCTTGGACTACAAACAGTCGGGATCAGTACACAGCAGAGTGTGGAGAAGAAACTGCAAACTGCATTTCCTCTTTTTATATACTAAGAAGAAAAGTTAAAACTCAGGTTTGTGTGTTTTGGCGTCGCCTCGCTTCATATTCCCACGGCTCCTTCTGCTGAGCTGTGAAGGTTAAAGATGGACCGTTTTGTTGACACAGTGACACCTTGGAATAATTACTGTAAACAGTAGACAGTACGGGTGACTGCTTGTCCTTTTACCTCATGCGGCACATTTCCTAGAAACCCACCTGTCCGCATGCTTAAAACAAACATCTTATATTTTTTTTAAACTTTTAAAGCAACTTTTTGTTGTTATTTTATCTTAAAACGACAGTTTCAAAATCACTATGATGGTAAACTGACTTGTAATAGGGAGAATGGCGTCTCTGTCATTGCTCACACACCAACAAGACTCTTCAGCAAGCTAGCTATAAGATATAACTCGGTATTCTCAGTATGGCTATCATAGCAGAGTCTGCAAAAAGAGAGAAGAAGACGTCAGAGGAAGAGAGAGAGAGACACCGAGCAAGGGACCAGACAAAGTAAATATCGGACTGGCTTTTACTCGTTGGCGTGAGCTTTGTGAAATAAAACGTGGGGCTTGGACCAGTAAGTAATATCAGCTGGTTTGGTGCCTGACATGTCGCACACCTGTCAACGCTGGGATGTGAATAAAAGGGAATTTTCCAGTCTTCAAATCTTCAAACAAAATATATGCTGTACATCAGGGAAACTGAAATATCTCAACAACTGTTGGATGGATCGCCATGAAATTTGGTTCCTACATTGATCTTTCTTTCAGGACACAATGGTAGTGATGCTGCAGTGAAATGTTGAAATAGCCAACAGGAATTAAGCCAAAACTCTTTCTTCAAACTGTAAACGTATCTTGATGCTGTTCACAGGCTTCAGTAGCTGTTTAGTCTTGTGAGATGGTATGACGATGAGTTATGCAACGGGGGTCACTCACTACTTCTGTAACACACATAGAAAGGATGTCACACTACGGGCAGAGATTCAGCGTTGCAATAAAAAGTGAATAGATATAAAGAAAAACATACAGAGAATCGAGAGATGAGATATTCAGGCGGCCAAAGAGACAACAAAGATCGACGCCTGAATAAAAAAAATCTAATTTGAAAGACTCAATAAAATGACTCAGTCTGAGACATCAAAGTGTCTCAGAGCTCAGACACTCTCATCTGTTTCCACACTCATTTGTATTCACATCATAAAGTATATTACAGTGCCCTCAGTCCCTGCCTCGTTCACCAGCATGGAGCTGCTGGAGCCACAGGCCGTGAGTCTGCGGGGTTTAGGGAATATTCCTGACAGCTGCTTTGTGATGAGTAACACAATCCTTTTGGTTTTCTAAACTACACTGGAGCCTTCTAGGATGCTGAGGAATAACCATAAAAATATAGGTTTGGTTTTTCTGTATCACAAGCTGATGCTTCTTTAAAATTACAATAGATATTAGATCTGATCTCATTGATTATTCTGTATTGTTTGTCATTCTTTTCCCCATTTACAGCTGCTACACTGCAAAAATGGAGCTCTCAAAAACACGAAAAAAAGCACTAAAATGGGGGAAATATTACTTTAAATAAGCAAAATTATCTGCCAACAGAACAAGAATATTTCACTTGCTACTTAATGCCAAAAAAACTGTGAAATTCTCAAACATAAAAGCTGCCTGGTAAGAAGAAATATCTTGTCAGACAAAAAACAAGTATATTTTTGCCTTCAATTAAGATAATTAATCTTACTAAGATTTTAGTTTTTGCAGTGAACTATACCTCCACCAGAGCCACTCTGCCGGGATTTTAATACTCACATTATAAAGCCCTATTCCTCCAGCTGAATCCAACGACTTATAGATAGATATTTGACTAGCCACCAACCAAACTCCATACAATTTTCTGTGCGTTTAAAATAAATTTGAAAATTATACATATAAGTGATATTTTCTGTAATTTTGTTTCTCTACACTGTGGTACAAGTGTATTTTTCTACACTGTAATCCTGCAGAATGTTAAATCTCTTTCAATAATAGTTCAATAGTTTAGGAAAGCTTTCTTACAGAGAGTTACAAGAGAGCTATAATGCTAGCAGTGGGATGTCTGCCCACTAAATATAAAGCTGCAGCCAGTTAGCTTAGCTTAGCTTAGCATAAAGACTTGGTGAAACAGCTAGCCCTGCCCAAGTGTGACAAAATCCTCACTAATTAACAAATTATATCTTGTTTGTGTAAAAATAACGAGCTGTTATGTGCTGTTTTTCTTAAATGAGCGCAGTGTCTTCCTGGAGTGTTTCCTCTAACTGTTTCCCCCTGTTTGGGGGCTATAAAATTGCCAGCAATGTATGTTCACATTTCATATAACTTTATCATAACTGTTTTCATCCAAGTTTCCATCGTCTTCATTCTCTTACGTTATGTACCTTTTAAATATCAGCTTAATATTAACCAGATGTCTGGTGTCAACAACAGTGAGTGCGACGTCTTTACATTTAAAACATACTATTAATTACCAAAATAAAAACATTATTCACAAAGTTTCGCCACTCTAAAATAATAGAGTTGGTAGCCTGGCCGAGACTTTCTGTGATCTGTCAGCTGTGACTCAACCACATTATAAGACAACTCCATTCAGAAATATGAGAGTGCCGGAGCCCTGCAGGGCCACCCTGTTGTGAGGATTGATGGGGCAATAACAATGTCCACCAGAGAGACACATACTTTCATAAAACGCAGCTGTAATATAGACAATTACTCTGAATTGGGTATTTGGAATTGGAGAGTGCTGCAGAGAGAGAGAGACGGAGTGTGGGAGAGACGATAAAGTGAGGCAGGGTGTGAGACAGATTGATGGTGATTCATTAGTATGCATGGCAGCTCAGCAATGTGTTCACTACGTCTTTATATTGTGACAGTATAAACATTTCCTGTATATGTGAAGAGGAGGAGGGACAGCACGAAAAAACAAAGACAAAACAAAACAAAAAAATAACTCTGTGGATCCATTTTCCTTCTTGTTCTAGAAGACTAGTTTGTTTTCAGGCTGGACACACACACAAACACACACACACACACGCACACACACACACTTCGACCTCTGTGTTATATTTAGAGACAGCCAGACCATCGCCGTCAGCATCAATGTGTCAATATGTCATTTTAGCTGCCAAACACTACTTTTATTTTGAAAGGGGGGCATAAGGTCAGAGCATCGGGATGAAACTCATTAACATTCAGAGGTAGCTGCCTTTTTTTTATAAAAACATTGTAAGGATGTAAATAAAAACTGACCTGAAACAAACTAGAAGAATGCAAACAGATGAACTCCAGCTCGTTCTCATTCCCTTAGCGTCAAAAAGCTATGGCTAGTGCCATTGTTCAATGCTTAAAGTACTATATATAACCAGAAAAGTCTTCCTTTACGGATGTTACATAAGTTATGTAAGTTATAAGTAATGTAAATTAACTTACGTTATTTAAGTCACGCAAATAACATAGTTATTTAACCCAAACCATTATCTTTTTTCTAAACCTAATGAAGTAGTTTTGTTGCCTAAACCTAACCAAATTGCGATGTTTCATAACATTAACCACTAGTTTTATTTGGAAACTCTAACTGGTTGTTGCATATCTATTGTTGCTAACACGTAGAAAAACGGCGCTAACATCTAGGGCTGCAACTAACAATTATTTTCATGTTCGATTAATCTGCCCATTATTTTCTCAATTAATCATTTAGTTGTTGGGTCAATAAAGTGTCAGAAAATGGTGACAATTGTTCGATCTGTGTTTCCGAAAACTTAAGATGTCGTCCTCAGATGTCTTGTTTTGTCCAGATGTTCAGTTTACTGTCACAGAGGAGTAAAAACAGCAGAAAATATTCACATTTAAGAAACTGGAACCAGAGAACTTACAGAGAATAACTCCAACTGATGAATCAATTTTCAAAAATAGTTGCCAATAAACCAATCAATTAATCGTTGCAGCTCTACTGACACGTGTGGCTCCGACCCTGATTTTTAAACCAACCAATGAGAGGGTTTCTGCCTCGGTGAACAAAAACTACAATCCTCCAGCTTTCATTGATTTTCAAAGGAGGCTGTGAATTCCCTCAGTGGCTTATGGCTGCAGCTACATCACCAAAAACCAAAAGCAGGTCAGAAGTCAAAGGTCGGGAGGGGGGTGGGCAATACGTTTGAAAAACACACCTGACACCGAAGGACACAGGAAGAAACACCCTGCTCTCCCTTTCTCTGCTTCGACATCAGGCGCAGTGCCCTCAAGGCTGATCAATTATTGAGCGAGCCAACCAGGACACAGCCCTGCATGTCTCTGTGTGTGTGCATTTCTCTCGCACGTGTGTTG